CGGCGGTGGGTCGTGCAGGCGTGCTGGCGAGTTGCATGGACAGGTTGGCACGACTGTGTGGGATGAGTTAAGCCATGAAATTACTTTAAATTCTACAGCCAAAAAATAATAAATAAATAAATAAATAAATAAATAAAATAATGATAATAATTAGTATTATCACAAATGATAAATAAATAGGAAATAATAATAATAATAATAACAGATATAGCAGATAATTCCATTTCATTTTTTAGCTGTTATGCTGTAAAATGCTTGAAAAAAAAGAAAACAATGCATATAGTTGCATATAGGCATGCTGCAGATTATGCCTTTTAATTCTTTATCTGTAATAAATGTATTAGGTGTTGTGTGATTACTTTTATTTTTCTTTTATTAGTTTAGGATTATGGTCACAGAGCGATTCCATTTTACGTATATTTGTTGTTTATATTCGTTAATTCAGCAACCTATATTGCGTTCATTATTATTGTTTGCGTTATTTTATTTGTTTTGTTAGAATCTTGCTCTTTTACCTACTACATTATTAAGATCTCTGTTTATTTATTTATTTATATTTTACTTTTTGGGTGCGCTTTCTCAAAACCTTTCCTGGATTACTTTCTAAATACAAGATAAATGGTTCGAGTTTTTTTTTTTTTTTTTTTTTTTTTACTTTAATGAACTGCCATGTTTCATGATGTTCCATACACTGTGCTTAAATTTTTATGATAGTATATTCTTATTTTCATGTTATTTGGCTCCGGCATTTTCCATTCTAACTGAATGTTTGCCTTTTTTATATCTATCATTAGTACTATGATTGAGTAGCTCTCGTTTATTGCTTTATACTTTTCCGTGATTTCTTGTATTGCAATGGATTAATAGAATTATCCATTTACCTGTGAATTAACCTTAACCCTTGAAGAATCTGATGAAAGCTGCACAACTTTACATTCATTGTGCATAATGTACATTAATTGTTGATTTTTTTTTTTTTTTTTTTTTTTTTGACTCGTACATATATGTATTCAGGGCTGGATTCTACGGAAATTCGTCTGCTAAACGGAAACAAAAAACGACCGACGGTTGGTGACGTCACTACGAAATTTTCTTTCGAAGCTTGTATATTTATTTTGTATTACTGCAAATGGTTTGATGTAAAAGAAAAGACTTTAAAACAATATTGAGATATTTTTCCATTTTCAAATGAATTAACCATGAAAACTGCTGAAACCATCCTGGCATGAACTGATATGATGTGGCAGACCGAACGTCATCGCGACGGAAATTTCATCCGATGTCACTTCGGCAGGTCTTCTAGCTGGGCATCACCAAAGGCAGAGCCACAGTCCAATAGAATGATTCGAAATATTCAGCACTAAAACACACTCCTAATGAATATTCGTATACTTTTTTTAGAGAAATAAAGTTTACAGGTTCAATGTCGTATTTTCTCGTTACACAAATAATTTTCTGATAGTGAATAGTCCAATTTTATTAGTTATTTATAATTTATCAGCTGATATTTAGAGAACAGCAGAAATGCTGCTACGGAAAAACGGTCAAGGCTAGGGTCAACGACCCAACAGCTAGTCAAGAGACGGCTAGTGGTCGGCACTGTAATGGTTAATGGTAAAGTATTGTGGTGAAAAGGGTAAATGAGTTAACAATTACTATAAATTGTGTTAAATGTCAATGATTATAGTGATACAGAATAGTATGATGGAAGAGGGGTAAGGAAGGGGTGTAAATGATATAAATAGGACATTAATAAAAGAAAGGGTTAAGGGTATAGGGCGATTTGATGTAATGGGATGTATTTATTGCTGGGGAAGCTATATGGAAAATTGGTAAAAGAGCTCTTGTGAAATAATCAACGGGAAATATGTTGATTATCAGAAGAGTCTAGGGGATGAGATAAGGAGTCTGAGGAAGGAGGTGAAGTATCGGGAAGAGCGTGAGGAGGGAGGAATGCGGAGGGGAACACTGTTGCGACAGAAGGAATTACGTGAGTATCCAGGTGGGAGGTAAAGAAAATGGAAAACGAAAGGGAAACGGTGTACATGGAGAAGGAGGGGATATGGTTTATTGGGGAAGAGTAGGAGAAGAGGGGTAGGGGGAACTTTCGGGGGAGGAGGATGGATCTCGGCAAATACTTTGAATGCAGAGGGACTGGAGGGTGGATGAGGGACCGGAACATTTTTGAGTCATGTCTAGGAATTTTTGGAAGTCTTCAAAAAGTTTCTGGAGGGGATCGGTAGGGAGGTGCAGAGCGAAGGTACTTTTGGAATACGCAGAGAGAAAAACTTTGTTGTGCTTCCTGCCTAGCCTCCCATAGAGTGAGCCTAGCTTGAATCTGAGAACTGTTACTTTACATTCGAACTTATAAGCAGGACAGCTGTAAACTACGACACGGGAATCACCACAGTTAACACATGTACGTGACTGAGCATAATGAGCAATGCAGGTAAGTAGGTCATTTTCAAAATCGGATCAGAGGGTGAGTGCTTCAGAATGGATAATGTCGGTAAACATCGAAATGGTATTATTATCAGTGATAGGAGCCGTGGTCAAAGGAGGGGCAGGGTTGGAAAACCATCAAAATCAAGATTAGATAGCTAGGTGATGAAGGGATAAGCCTCAATGCCCCTATTAAAGATAACTAATTATTGGTCATGGTGAGCCTGACGAAAAAATGGGGAAACTGTGCCCATGGTTCCCGGAGGCCGTTCATGACTGACTTAAAGGCAGCCTTTCATCCTTTCAGCACGGTTCTCGCACCTTACGGATGGACAGAAGAGGTTGAAGAAGATACGGAAGAGGAAAGGAGGAGAAAAAAAAGATCGAGCAAAATTTGTTGAGGCAAGGGCTGAAGTCCAAGGTATGGGCAATCCCTACATTGGGCTCCAATCTCCGTCTCCTAAGCCCCCTCACGGCATCAACGAGCAAGGTATCGGGAGGGTCGGCACTGGAAGTAGTGGCAGGGTGCGTTGTGTTTCAAGCAGTGGCAATGGGAATCCGTTGGTTGGGACAAAGGTGAGAGTTGTATAGCGAATATAACGTCGAGCTAGTCTTTTGTTAATTAACAAATATCTACGAATGCTAGTGATATCCGATGTGTGGCCACTTCTGTCCCTGTCCTTAGATGTTAATTTATCGTTTCTGACATAACGTTTTTCTATTTTTCCTTTTTCCCCACGTGTAAAGCGGATTTTGTCAAAGAAGCATTTTTATATTCATTTACCCTTTTATTATTATATAATTATATTTTCAGTAAGATGTGTTACAGGCTTCTATTTCCATCAACTCGATTTCCCTCCTCTTTTTACGCCTACCTGAGTGGGACGAAAATCCTTCTTTTGAAGGATTCCCCTGGTCCCTCTCCTCTTTTCCACCCTCCTCCCCTCTTTATCTCATAGTTGGGCAGAGATATAAGACTGACGAGGCACGCCGGAAGCCGGAAGCTGCTGCGGAGGCGGTTGGAGAGGGTTACTTCACATTATTGGAACACGCGGGATTCTCAAAATTTTGTTTTCGCCTTACTCCCTGGTTGCCCAGCCGTTGCTTGCAATTATTTTTATTGTCCGAGGTTTTATCCCCTTTGGAGACGTCTTGGGCTACCTACCTATGGGGCCAGCTGAGTGGGACGAAAAATGTTATTTCTTATCTGATACTCACTAACCCTCTGAAACCCAACTATGGATCCCCCAAGGGCCATGGACTCCAGGCTAATAACCCCTGGTATAAGTGTTTATTAGGTTTTGGATATTTTTTCCTTTTATTGCTATCCACTTTCTTTAGGATACTTCTCTTTAAATATTTCCTTCAATTATGTTTCCATATAATTTAGTAATGAAGTTATCCCTATAAGGTTTTGATTCTGGATTTCCATACATGTTTCTTTTTTTAATGTTTGAATTTGTCAATGCAAGATCATTTCTTCATCTTTAATTTTTACTAGTCCTGTTTTACTAATGAAAAAAATCTATTGGTTTCTGCAGTTCACGATCTTAGTTCATTTGTTCACATACTGCCATGGTCTTTCCCTTCACATTTGCAGCATCTTTCCACTAAATTTATCACACACATCTAACACACAAACAAAAAAGCACTCACTCATTCTCTCTCTCTTTGTCTTCTCTCCATACAAATATACACATAACCACATATGAATACATCTATACACACATGTCTACCTACTGTAAAATACAATAGAAGTAACATTCACATCGTAGTCTTTAGTAAGAATAAAAGTTCTTGAGTGGGATCCCCTTAAATTGATCTTGACTTTTGCATGGCTATGAACCCATGCAAAAGGAATGTGAGGAAAGCGCAAATCCATGATTAGATTCATCGACATATATACGAATCTGATCTGTACAGATGGAAATCAACATCCAAATGAACTGGTCTGTTTATTTTAACATCAGGATCTGGGTACATAATCTGATCATAGTAGTATCAATAAAAAACCTGGGACACACCAATGAAAACTATTCCAAAATACATTTTACAATAAATAAAATGATAATAATAGCAATAATAATAGTAATAGTTATAGTTATGATAATAATTATATGATGATAATAATAAAATATCAATAATAATAATAATAATAATAATAATAATAATAATAATAATAATAATAATCCTCATTATCTAATAATAATCATCATAATAAAAAAATAATGACAATCATAACAAGAACAATGAAAATAATGATAGCAATAATAATTATTATATCAATTAATAAAATGAAAAAAAAATAAAAAATAATAAAAATAACAATAATAATAATATCAATAATAGCAACAGCAATAATAATAATAATAATAATAATAATAATAATAATAATAATAATAATAACAATAATAATAATAGTAATAATAATAATAATAATAATAATAATGATAATAGCAATACCAACATAATAACCAGAAGAATTTCTAATCCAAAGG